CCCTTTGCAGGCATTCTCACAGGAAAATTACCAGGCATTTCCCCAGGAAAGCCACCCTGAAAACAAGCCAGATTGAGTCTGATTTTTGCCTGGTTTATTCCTTCCTGTGGGCTTTCTCATATTCTCTCCAAGTTTTCTTCACCAATTTTCTATTCTCTCTTTAATTTGTCACTCTTCAAGCTTTCACTCACTCTTTCTGTGATGTTCTGAAATTTTCTTACACTGAAATTCTTTCAATATTGCATTAACATTATCATCATAATCTGATTTACATGCAAGGACAAGACCATGTGCTACTTCTTCCTAACGACCCAAAAGTCTTTATGTTTTCTCTTCCCACTTGTAAGATTGAGTTGAAACATGGTTTATTTCAATAACTCTGTCACATAAACAGCATTTGGCTTCTATAATTTGATAAAGACACTGGTGATCTTAGCATTCAGAATAGTCAAGTTAGGATTCAAGTTGGTGGCATCACTGAACAAGTCAATCACTTTCTGTAGTTTGTCATCATTTGGGGCATCAATGGCAGGAACTTGTTTTTAATTTTTGTTGCATGATCCATCATCTCCTCAGTTATCCCAGCATTTTCATTTCCCATTTCTTGAGAGGCATCGGTGTCTAATTCAATCACACCTCCATTGACAAATCTAGATCACTTTCCTCACATCATGGTTTGTTTGCCTATGTTATCCTCTGCAGTCTTCCATCATGCTTTTTGACATTTCCTTGTGCTATGTGAAAAAATAAACTAAACCCAAAGTTAACAGAAGGAATAACAAAGATTAGAGCAAAATACATAAAGTAGAAACTTAAAAAAAAACTGTAGAGGTATTTATGAAGCTAAATATTGATCTTTAAAAGATAAACAAAACAGACAAATCTTTGGCTGGATTTAATTAAGAAAAAAAAAAGAACACAAAAGGATATATGATAATTCATACCACACAAATACCAAGGATCATAAAAGATTATTAGAAACACTTATATATGAATGAATTAGACAGTCTATAAGAAATGCATAAATTCCTAGAAACATTCAACATAATAACATTGCATCATGAAGAAACAGAAAATTGAAACAAACCAATTATTAGTAAGGTGATTAAATCAGTAATAAAAGTCTTCCAACCAAAAAATTCCAAGTCTACTCTCAAAACATCCATTCAACATGGTAATGGAACTCTTACTTGGTGCAATTATCTAAATTAGAATGTAAGAAGTAAAACAGCCTCTATTTGCAGATAGCATGATACTAAAAACAGTAACCCTAATAACTCCACCAAAAAACTGTTAGAAATAACTAATTAATTCAAGAAAGTTGCAGAATACAAAGTCAATATACAAAAATCAATTGTATTTTTATTTACTAATAGCAAACATCAGAAAAAAAGAACTAAAGAAAATAACACCAACATGCATCTGAGAAGATATGATGACAACTATGAGATACTGATTAAAGAAATTGAAGAAGCACAAATAAATTGAAAGATATCTATATTCAAGGGATGAAAAAATTAATAGTGTTATAACATCCATACCATTCAAAGCAATCTATAGATTCAATGCAATCCCATTAAAATTCTAATAGCATTTTTTAACAGAAAGAAAATAAAGTAACCCCCAAATTTGTATGGGACTGCAAAATAGCAAATTGCCAAAGCAATCTTGGGAAAGAACAAATTTGGTGATATTATACTGCATGATTTCATACTGTAAGACTTTATAATCAGAATAGTATGATACTGGCATAAAAATAGACACACAGGCCAATGGAATAGAATAGAATAAGAAAATAAACACATGCATGAATGCTTAATTAACTCATGATAAATGAACCAAGTGGGGAAAGAGTAATTTCTTCAATACATGGTCTTGGGAAAACTGGATACTCACATGCAAAATAATGAAACTGAACTTTATCTTCTACTATATACAAAAGTCAACTCAAAATGGATAAACATGTAAGCATAAGACCTGAAATCATAAAGCTCCTAGGAGAAAACATACCATGGATCTTGGAAATGATTTTTTTTACATTTGACACCAAAAGCAAAGTCAATAAAAGCAAAATAAGCAAGTTGGATTACATCAAACTAAAAAGTTTCTACATAGTAAAGGGAACAATCAACAAAATGAAAAGGCTATTTATGTAATAGGAGAAAATATCTGCAAATCATGTATCTGACAAGAGGTAATATCCAAAAATAGGTAACCCACAGATCTCATTAATAAAAAAAAAAAGGTACATTTGATTAAAAAGCAGGAAGAGGATCAGAATACAGAGGGTAGAGAAACTGGGCAATAAGATAAAATTTTGAATGAATGGCAACATAAAAAGGCAAGATTCAAGATACTTGGAACATAGTGAGTCCTCCAAAAAAAAAATTCTCTAATTAAATTGCAATTATTTGAAGCTATTTCTTGTGCTGGTTATTATATAATATTTCTGATTCAAAAGAAACAGGAATGTTTTCAATCTTTAAAATCTTTAATTGAAAAGTAGAAACTTAATGGAAGTCCTAGTGAATATTACATATAATTTTTATTATTATATCTCCCTTATGTAATAAAATTTTCATACTGTTTTAATTTTATAATGCTTTAGTTGAGAAAATCTTAGTTGGCTTTTGTAGTTGGCTTCATTTGTAGAATCCCCAAAAAGCCGTCAGGAATTTGAGAAAATTGGATAAATTATAATTATTCTATGGGAATTAATACTTTATAATTTATATAGAAATAGTACTTGTGTGAAAGAATTTGTTGACATTAATTCAAGAGCAAGAGCATAAAACACACAAAGTGCGGAAAATGGGAAATTGAAGGCTAAAGTTGTTATATTAGAAATAGAAAAGAAGTAACAGGGTCTAATCAGTTGCTTTGGTTTGAAGCAGTGATCATATTATAATATGTATTTATAACCCACTCTTTCAAATACATGAAATATTAATAAATTCATATAAATAATATGCTTTATATATATCTTTTACCTTGTTTCAAGATAAATTTTGGAAACTAAAATATTAAATTGATAATTTTTACAAAAGATTTGGAGTAGTAACATCACAGTTGCTAGATAATCCAAATGTTATGTTATTTGAATACTGCCATATAACTTTTACTACTATTTTCTGAAACATGAACTTACCATAGGTGACAGTTCTTTGCAAATACTTAGTAGAAGAAATGAAAACATGTGGATGGTTTTGTGGTATATTTTGACATGAAAGCAGAAACTTTTCTAAAATCTGAATTAGAAAAACCTTTATCAATTTCAATGAGACCAAAATCAAAGTGAACAAAAAATTCATTGTTTCAAAAACAAATGAATTTGTATAAAGCAACATCTATCCTACTGCCCAATTTGAAGAGGATTCTGAAAACACTAGTAACAGTTAGAAAAAGGTCAACATAAAATTTGATGTGAGAAATATTTGTGATCAAACAAAGATCAAGGTTCTTAGATTAGGGCAATTAATGCTTTGTGTGTGTCACTTTAAAAATGAATTTTTGCAAATGTATTAAACATTTGTGGAATTATTTTTCAATTTGAAACAATTTTGAATTGAGACCACTTTTATGTTAATATTTCATACTTTTCACAGTTTCTATAGCCTAAAGTCTGTCATGTAAATGTCTATTTTATGTATTAAATTATGTAATCTTATCACTAAATATTGGCTTAATGCATGTATTGTTATGTATTTTTACACAGGATATCTCTGGAATATCAAATATATATAAAGACACATTCAAAAAATCACTATTGTTATGTTCTTTCATTATCATTTTTTAAATCATGTACATACAGAACATATATTCAAATAATTCAATCTACTCTCCTGAAGGAAAATATTTTTCATAAAAATGGGAAGTTTCTACCGTGATTCCTATTGCAATAAACACCCCAACTCTTGCAGGAAGTGTGTACCGTCTGATCTTCTACACATTGTTAGGTTAGTATCTAAATTCATAGCTGTAATTATCAGAGATAATAAAAGGAGTATTGACACTGTCCAAGATCATTATCATTTGACTATCTAAAGAAGTTGGGGAGCAATGTAAGGAACAATAAAATTAACATATCACTCACTCACTTTCTCAGATTTTTTTAATGGGGTTTTAATGAGTTGGTGATAAAAAATAAGTAGATAAATAAACCAGTTGCAGGTTATTTTAAAACTCTTAATTTTATAAAGGCCGTAATTCAAAGCATTATTCAACTGTAGTATCCTTTTATAATCTTTTCAGGATATTTTTCTGTGCTTTTTTTAAGATTTATTTATTTATACATACAAGAACTGGGGTACAGACCAGAGGTGTGGGAGGGTGAGAGGATTCACCAGAGACAGAAAGGGGAAGAGAACAGGCAGATCAACTGAAATACACTGCTGAGGGGAGCAGTGGGCGAGTCAGGAGAGGTCTGCTGTGCCATGTGGGTAGCTCCCTGGCTCGGATCTAACTCATGCTGCAGTGGCTGCGGATAACTTCATAGTGCTGAAGCCTAACCCCTTGCATCACCAGGGAGCCCCTATTTTTCTGTACTTTAAAAAAAATTATCAAATGGACATTCACTGGTCATGTCAGATGATATAACTATTGGTCCAAGACCTCCTACCATTACACATTGCCTTCTTATCTGCTCTAATCTCCTAACAGAAGATCATGATCAAAATGAGACAAGAAGAAAGATGTTCTCATAAATGAGGTTAGTTCACTGGTAAGGGTTGATTGTTACTAGTCATACATATATTTTTCAGTTGGCACACAACATTGTAATTGGACAATATCTGAATTAGTAGCATTAGTTTGTAAATCAGACCTATAAGAGACCTATAAAAAGAAATTGATAAATTGAAGAATAGTCATTTGACAACATTACTGAAGTCAGAAGACATGGACATAATAAAAAAAAATGGATTACAAGTATCTTAACTTTTCAAAAACTCAGTGCCTTCATCTAACAAAAATGAAGCCAAAGACATACAAACTGCCGCTGCATGGACTTTCATTCCTCTTTTAAATTTTTGCTTCGCTTAGATGTGAAGATATCCTGTGACTGAGCTGTCTCATACTGAAGAGTCAGCACTGCTGTTGCTGTTGAAAGAGCTATATTGAGAACTTTATTATGCCCATCTGAAAAGCAAAATCAGTGATTATGAACAACTTACAGGACAGCTGAAAGTAGTTAAATCATTTACTTGTAATACTCCCAAGATCTTAAAATGCTACAATATATAAAACACATTCAGTCACTGCAGCACTTTTACACTCAGATGAACCCTCTTGAATCTATGGGAGCTTTTCATTTAATCTCTTTCTCCTTATTCTATTGTGAGACAGAAGTATTCATAAGTAGACAGTTTCTTACTTTGTGCTTTGAATTAGAGGTTTAAATTCATATGCTGTTTTCAATCCAGAAAAACAAGAACAATTTAACAAGAGGTCTTCTTATGGGATAATGTTTACTTACAAGCTTAAATGTCTGACTTTAAAGTCTTGGGCAAATGGATTCAAGTTATGGCTGAGTCACTTACTAGTTGTGTGAGTAGGAAATTTACTTAACCTCAAACTAACTCAGTATCCACATCCTAAAAATGGGCATAATCACCAGATATACTTTATAACATTGCCAGCAGTGTACTTCAGCTCCAAGATGAGATCAATCGAGAAACAGTTTGTATGGTGGTGAATTTCAGTATCAAAGGCATGAGTTTGATTTCTAGACTTATCACCAGTTATTGAATTCTTTTGGGTAAGATTTCTAATTTCTTTTAAGTCTCAGTTTATTTTTCTATAAAAGGAGTAATTTACTTCATATATGTATAGCTATTTAAATGATAGCATAGAAGTAAAGCTAAAGACTCAGTTATCCCTGCCCTTTTTCATTTGTTTAAACATTGCAGATCAGTCCAGTGATGGAGACCAGTGATTTAATCATTGTATTTAATGCAGACTTCAAAGGATGTCTGTTACCTGTCAGCCTAAGTCTTCTGACTTGAATTCATCTCCACATCCCTACAATAGGTCAAGTTATTCCCAGTGAATATTTCTGTCTATGTGAGATACTATCAAAATTCTATATATTAGCGAGCCATCATCATTTTTAAGATTTTTGTGACTCTAAACATGTAATTAGATCCATTGTTTTTTTTTTTTTTGTTTACTTGTGGTCTTGAAAAACTTTGCAGTGGGTCTTCTTGAGAGCACCATCTGTCATTAAGACTGAGTTTTGCTCATAGCGGTCCTCCTTTATACTATTTCCAAATTGTTTTTCCTTCTCCTCCTTCAAAAATTCTTAAACCTTACCATGTACTCTACATGGTACAAATTGCATTCACATTAATTATTTCCCCTATTCCCATTGTACATCCATCCTTATCCAGATATATTTCTGTGATCTATCACAATAAATACTACCTTTCATCCTGCTCCATTCCCTTGTCTTCTCTCTGTCTCTTTTTCTCTCTTCCTTCCTGGATTCATCTGCTTGATATCTGCACGTGTGTTACTGCAGTCAGCTAGAAACTTACAAAGATGTTGACTTGTCTCATTTCTGAATAATTATCATAAATCTCAAATAGACTTCCAACAGTATCCTTTAGGCCCACTACATTTGTCTGTGTTGGCACTTTCATACTCCAGGATTATCACTTCAAATCTTGGTCATTCATTAACTCTCTGTCATCTTTGCTCTCACACATACCCCTCTTACATGCAAATACAATTGAGTACGTGCACACACACACACATACTTACAGTCAATAAATTTGTTTTCATTTTTCTTCAGGAATGAATAAAATGTTCTTATACCTAAAACTTCTCACCACCTCAAAGTCTTTTTTCATTCTTTACACTTAAAGTTCAACAGCATTACAAATGGAAAACCTCAATTTTATCTCAGATCAGGCTAATGCTGTGTGAGTAGTTCACTTAGAAATGGGTAACTTTCTCCTGGTAGATCTTGTCACAGCCTAATGCAAACATATGTAATTGCCAGATAAGTCTCTTCTTAGCTTTTTAATAGAGAGGATTGACTTGCCTTTGGGTTTATAAAGGTCCTATACACATTTAATGCTCTAATGTCAACTTTTGAAATTCCTAATAATTTATGAACAGTTTTCACTTTATACTGGGCCCACAAGATAAACAGCCTGTCCTGACTTACAAATAGGTACTTCAAATTTAGTTTATCTAAACAGACTTGATTCTTACTTGCCAAACCAATTATTCTCCATTTTATCCTATTTTTTTTTAACTCCCAACAATATCATTTTAGTTACTCAGGTAAAAATCTAGAAGTCACATTTGTTGTTTTCCTCTTCTCACCAGCCAATGTGTCACAAAGTTCTATTTGTTCTGCATCCATGTTTCATCCTATATTTCTGTACAGTATACTCAATTTTTCCATTATTACACCATAGAGTATTAGACTGTAATGAATGTCTTCTAGCTTGCATCCCTTTTCTACCCTTAAGTTCATATAATCCATTCACCACATAGCTGCCAGAAATATATATCTATAAATATATCTATATCTATTATATATAATAGATATATTTATATATAAATACATACATGCATACATACATAATATATATTATTAAGAAATGCATCAACAAAGTCTTATGTCTAATAAATGAGTTCAGTAAGTTTGCAGAATACAAAATCAATATACAAAATCAATCATGTATTCACAAAAAAAAGTTTAAAAACGAATTTAACAAAATTTCCTACAGGGGGGCTCCCTTGTGGCACAGGGTTTAAAGACACAACACTATCAAGCTAGCGGCAGCCACTGCAATACCAATTCTATCCCTGGCCAGGGAGCTTACCCATATGGCACAGCAGACCTCTCCTGTCTCACCTGCTGGTCCCCTCAGCAGTGTATTTCAGTCAATCTGCCTGTTCTGCTCCCCATTCTGTTTTCCATGAATCCTCTCACCCCGCACACTTCTGACCTATGTCCCAGTTCTTGCATGCATAAATAGATCTTAATACAAAAAAAAGAAAAAGGAAAACAACAATAGGATCAAAAACATTTTGGAATAAATTTAAACAAAATAATTGCAAGATTTGTATAGTAAAAACTACAAAATATTGTTGAATGAAATTAATGAAGGCTTAAATAAATGGAAGGACAGTGCATGTTCATAATATTCTCCTAATTGATCTATTAATTCAATAGAATGCTAGTTTTCTTTGATTCTCCTGAAAAATTGATAAGTTGATCCTAAAATTTGTATGAAATGCAATGAGACCAAAATAGTAAAAGTAATATTAAAAAATAATAAATGTGTAGCACTCATATATCATAATTTCCAAACCTGCAATAGTAATCCAGACAAAGTGGTACTAAAATAAAGATATATGCTTCAATCAATGGAATAGAATTGAAAGTCCACAAATTAACCTTTGTGTTTATTTATGGTCAAATGATTTTTAACAAAGGTACGAATACATTTCAATGAGAAAACAACAATATTTTCAACATGTGTTGCCAGGAAATCAGAAATTCATATGGGAAAGCATCAGAGCCTTTTTTAATAGCACATGAAAAATCAATTAAAAATAGATCATATTTTTAAAGATTTTTTTAATATATGCATACAAGAACTGGGGTACAGGCCAGAGGGGAGGGGTGAGAGGATTCACCAGAGACAGAGTGGGGAACAGAACAGGCGGACTGATTGAAATACATTGCTGAGGGGAACAGCAGGTGAGACAGGAGAGGTCTGCTGCACCATGTGGGTTGCTCCCTGACCAGGGATAGAGCAAGTGTTGCAGTGGCTGCTGATAGCTGCATAGTGCTGAGACTTAACTTCTTGTGCCAGCAGGGAGACCCAAAAATAGATCATATTTAAATGTAGGAACTACAACTATAAAATTCTGATAAGAAAGCAGATGTAAATCTTTTTGTTTGCTAGTTATTTGTTTTGTTCTGTTTTGTTTTGTTGCTGTTGTTGAGATAGCCTTGGTTTGTAACATTGTATATAACTTAGAGGTATAGGATCTTACTTACCATACCACACCCAGCAGCAAGGTAGCAAAAGGGGTTGATATCAGTGTCCTGACTGCTCTATGAATTCAGTCCATAATGAAATACTAATAGATATCAATGTTCCTCTTTCTCCTGTACCCCAGTTTCCTGTACCTCTCCCATCACAAGCCCTGGCCACTAGTCTCACATACCATCATCACCACCTCTCAGCTTACAGTGTGCTTGCTCGCTTCCTGATTCTGGTAAATGAAACTTCACCACACATGCATTATTTTTGCTTTGTATAGTCAGTGTATTTACATTTCATCCCTGCTTTTACTAATTGTTACTATTATTTTAGGTTTTCTATGTTACTTGGTATGGTTTATTAGATGAGTGTTCGGCTCTGGAAACATTAAAAAATTTCTTCATTTAAATTAATTAATGGTACCTGCTTTTTCATTTTACACCAATTTCATTTAAGAAATGTTCATAGAAACATTCTACTTTCAGATAGTGGGGGAAACCTGCAAATGTGAAATAATGTTTTGTTTTAATTTTGAAATGAGTATTTGTTGTATTTGTCAAAGTGGGTTGAAGATCAAGAGAAGAAAGATATTTTGAAAATTTGGATATAATAAGTAATGGAATCTGGGAAACATTGAATTTTCTTTTTTATTATTTTTCAATATGGTAACAATTGTTTACAACATGGTATATGATCTGTATGTATAGGATCACACTCTTTCAGATGTATGTTAAAAAACCATTACCACCACCAGGACATACATTGTGCCTCCTCCCCATTTTCATCATTTATAGAATCTACAGAGTTGAGTATTTCACATTGGTAGATGACTTATGCCAAATGTAAAGTTGTTAGGGATACTGAATGTAATGTAAATGTAAAGTTGTTAGGGATACTGAATTGAAGATGAGGTTGGTGATCTTTTTCTTCCTTAATTTTAATGGTACTTTTCCCAATTTAAAATAAAATGGAGTATTGAACAATTAAACTTCAGAATGAAACTTCCATCAAGGAAGTTACTAAAACATGTTGTAATCTCTGAATAGCGTTTAGATTGAAATCTCCTAACCTTGAGCAGATCTCCAGTTTTGCTTTTTAACTAAGAAAGTCCTCTAAAATACAATAGTACTGTAAGTTCATGATCAAATGCAAATTCAATCTTGATGTAGGAAAGCTATTCTTCTTCACTAGTCAGCTTACCATGGGGAATGATTGCCAGAGTATGTTTCTGGCAATTGTCTTATTCTTTGAAAACTCCGAAACCATTCCTGGTTAAAAATATGTAAGACAATATTCCATTTTTTCTTTCAAATTTTAATAAAAAAATAAAAAGCCTAGTAGCAGTCAGTACTTAATAACGATAGGTACTAAAAGAGTCATTAATGTTTTGAATGATTTTTGTTTGTCTCAGTTTTAAGATTGTTATAATAACCCTAAAACATAAAGTATATGCCTATTTTGTATTGATGGAAAATTTTAAATAATCCGTCAACTATTGTCCAAATTTAAGTAGCAACTTCATCTATTTTATCTTTTAGTAATCACAAAAATGTACTATATGAAAAAAATTTTGCATTTTTATCTCTTAAAATACATGCATGGCAAAATGTAGGCCATGTAGTTTCTGTCACTACTTTTTATTTCCCTTTGCTTGATATCATCTCTGAAAATCTTTTAAAATTAGAGCAATAATTATAATAGTGTTTTAACTCAAGCCATGTATTCTCTATCAGATAAAAAGGGATATGCTGTGGGATATGAAATAGTTTCTACAGAGAATTTGGGATTGGTATTAGAACATCCTGCTATCAATAATCTACTATGTGACTACAGATAGCTCTAGTCCTCCTCTTCTTTCCATGCATCGAAAGTTTGTGATATCAGATGTGATGCACTTAATAAACAAATAACCACTCTGTCACTGCTAGTTGTTATCATTAATGTCTATATTATTGCAGTAAAAATACAAATTAAAAATCAGAAATGTTCTGGGTCTTTATAGATACATATATATATATATGTGTGTGTGTACATATATATATATATATATATATATATATATATATATATATATATATATATATAAATTACTCTGCTCAGAGAACTCTTCTTCCCAAAGTTTTTATTTTCATTGCTAGAAGACAGAGTCTGGAATCCAACCTACACTTTGCAATAAATGAATAACTCTTATCTATTTCTAACTGTGTAGATGTCTTTGAAATAATATCTACACCAAATGGTTTTTACAAACAACAATCTTTATTGATTTCATCAGTTTGCCCTATTTAAAATATCATTTGTTACCTTATTTTTTTCTAATTTTTGAACAAGTAACTTAACTAAAAGTTTTAGCCTTTGTTTTTGGTTGAAGTAAACTAACTTGCTTAATTATATATATATATATATATATATATATATATATATGAAATATCAATGAATGAGTCACATAGTATTGACTAAGCATTTTGATGGGAAATAAACAATTCTGATAAGTGGATGTCACATGAGTACCTTCTTCAC